CTTTTTCAGCTGGAATGTGGTGAACCACCTCTGGCTCTCACCCTTCGCTTCCAAGATGCAAGTTCATAATTAAAGCTGATGAAACAGATGATCTCTCTGAAAGTTTGAGAGAGCTGCCTACATTGAGGGGAGGAACAAAATATACAAAACCCCATATAGTAATTCATCCCCCATAGTAATTCATCCCCCCATAGTAATTCATTCCCCATATTAATTCCCCCCTGTGTCAATTCACTTACCTTTGCTCCGCGCGTTCCTCTCGCCGTGTTCCCTCGCCGTTCCGGTGTAGCATGAAAATCTGTCTCCTATGAGGATCTGTCCCCCTCGACGTATCTGCGCATGTGCCAGTTTCAGGCATTAGCAGCCGATCGGCGATCTCCGGCACATGCGCAGATACGTCGAGGGGGACAGATCCTCATAGGAGACAGATTTTCATACTACACCGGTCTTCAGGGCGGACTGTGAGAGGAGCCTAGCGGGAGCCTAGCTCCGCGGGCCGGATTAAAAGGTCCGCCGGGCCGTATACGGCCCGCGGGTCGTAGTTTGCCCATTGCTGGTTTATACTCTGCTTTTGTTGTTTTAGTTAACCCTGACCCTTCTGGTCTGGGATTCTATAGCTAGTTTTAGCTTAGGGTTCAATAACCAGTATAGGTTAGAGCCAGGTTAGGCATCCAATGGCCACTTTTGGTAGTTAGCTGTCCAGTTGCATGACAGTTTAGAAACTACTAGGGACTAAAAGGCAGAATAGATAGATAACTCCTATCTACTAAGTCCCAGTGCCACACCATAGATTTTGCTGCTGAGAAGCTGTGCTCCCTGGCTGGTTGAACAATGGTTGGAGGATCTCCCTATCAGTGCCGATCTTTTCTTCAGGTCTCCTACACCAAGATGAATGAGGCATCACAATTATCCTCAGGGGACACTGCTATGGACTTTGCACTACATTCATCTGGAAGTATCTCTATTAATAACTACACTGCTCAAAAAAATTAAAGGACACTTTGAAAACACATCAGATCTCAATGGGGAAAAAGATAATGCTGGATATCTATACTGATATGGACTGGGTAAAGTGTTAGGAACATCAGGATGCCCCCCCATCGTTTGATGGAAATGAAAATTATCAACCTACAGAGGACTGAATTCAAAGACAACCCAAAAATCAAAGTGAAAAAAATTAAACAGCAGCAGGCTAGTCCATTTTGCTGAAATTTAATTGCAGCAACTCAAAATGGCACTCAGTAGTTTGTATGGCCCCCACGTGCTTGTATGCATGCCTGACAACGTTGGGGCATACTCCTAATGAGAGGACGGATGGTGTCCTGGGGTATTTCCTCCCAGATCTGGACCAGGGCATCACTGAGCTCTTGGACAGTCTGAGGTGCAACCTGGCGGCATTGGATGGACTGAAACATGATAGCCCAGAGGAGTTCTATTGGATTTAGGTCAGGTGAGCATGGAGCCATTCAATGGTATCAATTCCTTCATCCTCCAGGAACTGCCTGCATACTCTCACCACATGAGGCTGGGCATTGTTGTGCACCAAGAGGAGCCCAGGAGCCACTGCACCAGCATAGGGTCTGACAATGGGTCCAAGGATTTCATCCCTATACCTAATGGCAGTCAGTGTGCCATTGTCTAGCCTGTAAAGGTCTGTGTGTCCCTTCATGGATATGCCTCCGCAGACCATCACAGACCCACCACCAAAACGGTCATGCTGAACGATGTTACAGGCAGCATAACATTCTCCACGGCTTCTCCAGACCCTTTCACACTTGTTACATGTGCTCAGGGTGAACCTGCTCTCATCTGTGAAAAGCACATGTCATCAGTGGTGGACCTGCCAATTCTGGTGTTCAATGGCAAATGCCAATCGAGCTCTCTGGTGCTGGGCAGTGAACACCGAGCCCACTAGAGGACATCAGGCCTTCAGGCCACTCTCATGAAATCTGTTTCTGATTGTCTGGTCAGAGACATTCACACCAGTGGCCTGCTGGAGGTCATTCTGTAGGGCTCTGGCAGTGCTCATCCTGTTCCTCCTCTCACAAAGGAGCAGATACCAGTACTGCTGATGGGTTAAAGACCTTCCCTGTTCAGCATTCCTAGAGTAACTGCCTGTCTCCGGGAATCTCCTCCATGCTCTTGAGATTGTGCTGGGAGACACAGCAAATCTTTTGACAATGGCACGTATTGATGTGCCATCCTGGAGAAGTTGGACTGCCTGTGCAACCTCTGTTTGGTCCAAGTATTGCCTCATGCTACCAGTAGTGACAATGACCCTAGCAAAACACAAACTAGTGAAAAACAGTCAGAAAAGATGAAAAAAATGTCAGTGACCTCTGCCTGTAAAACCATTCCTGTTTTCGGGGTCATCTTATTGTTGCCCATCTAGTGCACCTATTGGTAATTTCATTAGCACCAAAGCAGCTGAAACTGATTAACAACCCCCTCTGCTACTTAACTGACCAGATCAATATCCCAGGAGTTTAATTGACTTGATGCTATACTCTGATTAAAAAGTGTTCCTTTAATTTTTTTTCAGCAGTGTATATGCACCAGAGGTCAAGTACAATGCTTTGGCCAATTACAGCGCATGATGATGTCACAAGGGGGCTGGGTGATCCCTTGTTAAAGGGGGGGCTTTCAGATTTTGATAAGTTCTCACACCCACAGACCCCAACGACCACCGGCCATAGTTGTGGGGAATAAGCCCTTGTTCCCCATCAACAGGGGAAAAGGTGCTTTGGGGGGGAGCCTCCCTGGCCCAGAGCACCTTTCGTGTTGAGGGCATGTGGCCTGGTATGGTTCAGGAGGAGGGAGGGGCATTTGCTCGTTCTCCCCTTTCCTGACCTGCCGGGCTGCAGGGTTTGGGATAGATTTTGTGGGGATCTCTACACCATTTTGGAAAAAGATTTGATGTGGGGATTCCCCTCAAAATCAATACCAGACCCGAAGGGGTTGGTATGGATGGGGGGGGGGACCTCAAGCCGTTTTTTTTTACATTTTTTATTTGTCAGCAATTCTTTTTACATTCAGCTGTCAGCTGGGAAACCTTCTGACAGCTGAAACATGTTGTCACTACTAAAATACCACATAATTTAATAATATAACTCATGCAATATTTTAGTAGGTGTGTGGTATTTTGCCGCATACTCAGATGTGGTAAGATACTGCTTTAACCGCTTGCTTACAGGGCACTTATACCCCCTTCCTGCCCAGGCCAATTTCCAGCTTTCAGCGCTGTCACACTTTGAATGACAATTGCGCGGTCATGCAACACTGTACCCATATGACATTTTTATCATATTTTTGTGACAGATAGAGCTTTATTTTGGTGGTATTTAATCACCTCTGGGTTTTTATATTTTTTTTTAAACAAACCAAAAACCACTGAAAATTTTGAAAAAAAAATGTTTTTTCTTAGTTTTTGTTATAAAATTTTGTAAATACCGTATTTTCCGGCGTATAAGACGACTTTTTACCCCTTGAAAATCTTCTCAAAAGTCGGGGGTCGTCTTATATGCCGGTATACGGCGAGGAGCCGACCGGGCCCCGCGAAAATCGAGTGAAGGAGCGGCCGGTAAGTGTGCCATCCAGAGGTGCTGCTGCAACCACATATGCTGGCTGCAGCAGCACCATACTAGAACAGGGGCCAGCAAGTGTCACTGATACCAATGATGGGGCATTATTCCTCCCACTGACACCAACGATGGGGCACTTTTCCTCCCCCCCACTGACACCAACAATGGGGCACTATTCCTCCCCCCCCCACTGACACCAATGATTGGGCACTATTCCTCCCCCCCCCACTGACACCAACGATGGGGCACTTTTCCTCCCCCCCACTGACACCAACGATGGGGCACTTTTCCTCTCCCCCACTGACACCAATGATGGGGCACTATTCCACCCCCCACTGACACCAATGATGGGATACTATTCCTCCCACTGACACCAATGATGGGGCACTATTCCTCCCACTGACACCAATGATGGGGCACTATTCCTCACACTGACACCAATGATGGGGCACGATTCCCCCCATTGTTACTAATGATGGGGCACTATTCCTGCCACTGATACCAATGATGGGGCACGATTCTTCCCACTGACACCAATGATGGGGCACGATTCCTCCCACTGACACCAATGATGGGGCACTATTCCTCCCACTGACACCAATGATGGGGCACTATTCCTCCCACTGATACCAATGATGGGGCACTATTCCTCCTACTGACACCAATGATGGGGCACTATTCCTCCCACTGATACCAATGATGGGGCACTATTCCTCCCACTGATACCAATGATGGGGCACTATTCCTCCCACTGATACCAATGATGGGGCACTATTCCTCCCACTGACACCAATGATGGGACACTATTCCTCCCACTGACACCAATGATGGGGCACGATTCTTCCCACTGACACCAACAATGGGGCACTATTCCTCCCACTAATACCAATGATGGGGCACTATTCCTCCCACTGACACCAATGATGGGACACTATTCCTCCCACTGACACCAATGATGGGGCACGATTCTTCCCACTGGTGTGCATTGGAAGAGGGGTAGTCTTATATGGCGAGTATAGCCTAAACACTATATTTTAACAGGAAAAGTAGGGGGTCGTCTTATACGGCCAGTTGTCTTATATGCCGGAAAATACGGTAAGTGATTTTTCTCCTTTATTGATGTGCGCTAATGAGGCTGCAGTGATGGGCACTGATGGGTGCACTGATGGACACCAATAAGTGGCACTGATGAGGAGGCACTGGTAGGTTGCACTGATGGGCATTGACAGGCATCACTGATGGGCACTGAAAGGCAGCACTCATATATGGCACTGATAGGCGGAATGGTAGGTGGTACTGACTGGCACTGATAGGCGGCACTGACTGGCACTGTTAGGTGGCACTGACTGGCACTGTTAGGCGGCACTGATAGACACTGATAGGTGGCACTGATGCACTCTGATAGGCAGCACTGACTGGCACTGATAGGCAGCACTGACTGGTACTGATGGGTGACACTGAAAGGCAGCTCAGATGGGCACTGATATGTGGCATTAATGTGCACTGGTAGGCACTGATATGTGGCATTGATGTGCACCGGTAGGCACTGATATGTGGCATTGATGTGGCACTGATGGGCACTGGCAGGTGGCATGGATGAGCACTGACAGCTGGCACTGATGGATACTAACAGGTGGCACTGCTGGGGCTACACAGATCATCAGGGCACACTGATCATCAGTGCCCTGATGATCAGTGTACATGTCCCTCTCCGAGGAATGCCGATTACCGGCTCTCCTCTCCTCTCGAGCTGTCAGCGTGACAGCTCGTGAGGAGAGAAATGCAGATAACCGGCATTTCCCTGTTTACATGTGATTAGCTGTGATTGGACACAGCTGATCACATGACTGAGCCGACATCTTCGGCTCTTTCCATTGATCGGTGATCCGCTGTGTCCGAGGGACACAGCGCACCGCCAATCGCCACGCTGCATGCTCCCGGAGCCACTCATGCGCGGTTAGAATGGGAGGACGTCATATGACATCGTCCCAGAACGAGAGAACCACCTTGCGCCCGTCATTGTACTATATGGCGGGCGGGAGGTGGTTAAGGAATTTTCCATACTCGAAGTTTGTGATCGAACTTTCATTAGGTTCCAATGTATGTCCGTGAACCGAACAGGGGGGTGTTCGGCCCATCACTAATTATGACATTATATTGCAGGGGAATTTTTTTTTTTTGGGTGGTTTACTACTGCTTTAAGTAGAAAAGCTAAAGAAATAGTATAACAGCCAGTGAAAAAAAAAAGAAAAAAAAAGGCAATGGCAGCTCTAAAATTTCATGACATTTCTTTAACTTCACAGTATATACTTTAATTATGGCTATGGTAGGTCTTTACCTGCATGAATTAGTTTGCAATTCCTCAGTTGACTCTGGAATTTCAATTCCCTAGATAACAAGCATATATCGTGTCTCACATTATATATCAACGCAACATCAAACGGTTCTTAGACTGCAATAGACTTGACACCCCTTTTTTAAAAATGTGGGATATTTCAATTACAAAAGTTGTTTTCAAAAGTATGCTATTAATGTGTTTATCTTGAAATTATCGCTACAATGATCAGCCTATTACAATACTACACTGGCAGATGTTTTTAAATACATGGCAATGAAAGTAAGGCAGATGTTTAAGTTTTTTTGTTGGAAGACAAAGCAAATGACAAGTATACATAGAGTGTGCGCTCTAGGAGTATCACTTTAATTCAATGAATTCTTTCCATGTGCCATCATCAGTACTCTTTGTAACACATCTGGAAAGTATGATACATCTGATACGTAACCGTTTGCTCCATTCATTGCAGGGGAAGTTCAAATCCTTAACAAGGATGTGTGAGAATGTTTCCATTAAATCTTACCCTATTGAGGAAACTCTTCTAAGAATTCTAATGCAAACAACTAGAAGAAAAATATTGTCAGAAAAATAATATATTTTAAATGGTACAGTCATACTAGAGGCTTATTTAATAAGGCAGATGCATAGAGTAGTAAAGGTGGTCAAAGTGCAGTAACCTATAGCAACCAAGAGGCACTTTCCACATTGTCACATTTAGATTCTAAGCTCTTGCAATCATTGCTCTCTAAACTTTATTGCATTTGGTGCTATATAAAACCTGTATAGTGATGATAATCACCACTGTTTTTGTTTTGCTAAATAAATTAAAAAAGACTAAAAATTAAAAAAAAACACGTTTCTTTATATCTGTCATAAAATTTTGTGAACAAATAATATTTCTTTATAAATTTAGGTCAAAATGTATAGTGCTACGTTTCCTTGGTAAAAATAACCCAAATTAGTGTATATTATTTAGTCTGTAGAAAAGTTATAAAGTCCACAAACTATGGTATATATATTTGAAAATTGGTCAGTCCTGACGTATCAAAGTCCTATCTCATTTCGTGAGGCCTGAAAATGCCAGGCCCAGGACAGTACAAATACTCCACAAAGTACCCCTTTTTGTAAAGAAGGAAGTTCAAAATAAGAGACATGGCAGTTTTTTAAAAGTTGTATTTTTTTTTTTATTTTTTTGGAAAATTAAGAAATTAAAAAAATTAGGTTTTTTTCACTTTTTTTAATGCTGTCACCAGTGCAGTACAGCGTCAACATATTTCTGGTGTGGTGGTGATCAGGGACATTGACTGGTGACAGTATGTAAAAAAAAAAAAAAAAAAAAAAAAAATTTTTTTCAATCTGGTCTTTTTTTTACTTTTGTATTACAATTTTTTTCTTTTTTATGATTTTTTTTCTTTTTACATACTGTGACCAACACAGAGTGTTATCCTATTAACACTGCACTAGTCTCGAGGGGGGGTATCAAGATTTGTTTTTTACACACTACGATTGCTTAGAACAGTGATAACCACTAGTATAAGCAGCCAATTTGTATGAATTAAATCCATTCATTCAGTGTGTACTATTGTGATTAACTGTGATTGGCCACAGCTAACCACATGGTACAGATGGGCTGTGATTGGTACTGTACCAAGTGATCACTGTGACCAATCACAGAGATCAGCACAATAGTACACAAGAATAGTATGCATGAAAACCATTCATTGTGCACAACTGTCATGTGATCTGCTGCGATTGGTCACAGTGATCACATGGTAATGGCAGCGGCCCAGTACATTGATCTGTCATCCAATGGACACAGCATGGCCTGCGGGGCACGCACGAGGTGCAATCCTGGGAGGACGTTTTATGATGTCCACCCAGGATAACAGTGATCCCACCACCCGGCTGTCATGTTCCTAAAGCTGAGGTATTTACTACTGTTAGGAATCTGATTTTTGTACTTTTTCCTTTCTTTTTGTTCCAACTTATTAAAAGGACAAACTTTTTTTTGGTTTAGATAGATGAGGGAAGGGTTAGACATCCTGTCTGATTTTTATTGCTGTCTTTGTCCTAGCAGGGAAAACACTTCACTGTTTATCCGACTGAACAGGACGCTGAGACAGAAGGTGGAGGGAAAAACTTCAAATTGTCATGGGAGTAAGAAGTGAGATTAGATTACTTAACTGGAACACAGACAACCAAAAATCACTCACCGGTGGACAATCACCAAAGTGTGGTCATAATATGATACCAAGATGCAGGGAACTGTGGAGACATCCCTTCAGGGTGAGTGTCCATGATGCCCTGCACTCACAGTATGTCCTCAGTATTCTGGCTGTACAATGTTTTGACATTTTATGATGAAATGGAACTACTGCTTTGGGACCTTTTAAAAATAGTCACTACTATTAAAATCGTTCTAATGGTTCTTTACCAGTAAGCAGAAAGTAATGGAAGGCAAAATACATTGTATTGCCAAAAGTATTGGGGCACCCCTCCAAATCATTGGATTCAGGTGTTCCAATCACCTCCATGGCCACAGGTGTATAAAATCAAGCACCTAGGCATGCAGACTGCTTCTACAAACATTTGTGAAAGAATGGGTCGCTCTCAGGAGCTCAGTGAATTCAAGCGTGGTACCATGATAGGTTGCCACCTGTGCAATAACTCCATCTGTGAAATTTCCTTGCTACTAAATATTCCACGGTCAACTGTTAATGGTATTATAACAAAGTGGAAGCAACTGGGAACAACAGCAACTCAGCCACGAAGTGGTAGGTCACGTAAAATGACAGAGTGAGGTTAGTGCATGCTGGAGAGCACAGTGTGCAGATGTCACCAACTGTCTGCAGAGTCAATAGCTAAAGACCTCCAAACTTCATGTGACATTCAGATTATCACAACAGTGCATAGATAGCTTCATGGAATGCGTTTCCATGGCCAAGCAGCTGCATCCAAGCCTTACATCATCAAGTGCTTTGCAAAGCATTGAATGCAGTGCTGTAAAGCACGCCGCTACTGGACTCTAGAGCAGCGGAGACAAGTTCTCTGGAGTGACAAATCACGCTTCTCTGTCTGGCAATCAGATGGACGTGTCTGAGTTTGGTGGTTGCCAGGAGAACGGTATTTGCCTGACTGCCTTGTGCCAAGTGAAAAGTTTGGTGGAGGGGGGATTATGGTGTGGGGTTGTTTTTCAGGGGTTGGGCATGGCCTCTTAGTTCCAGTGAGGGGAGCTCTTAAGATGTCAGACTACCAAGACATTTTGGACAATTTCATGCTCCCAACTTTGTGGGAACAGTTTAGGGATGACCCCTACCTGTTCCAACATGACTGTGCACCAGTGCACAAAGCAAGGTCCATAAAGACATGGATGAGTGAGTTTGGGGTGGAGGAACTTGACTGGCCTGCCTCAACCCGAAAGAACACCTTTGGGATGAATTAGAGTGGAGACTGCAAGCCAGGCCTTCTCGCCCAACATCAGTACTTGACCTCACAAATGCACTTCTGCAAGAATGGTCAAACATTCACATAGACACACTCCTAAACCCTGTGGACAGCCTTCACAGAAGAATTGAAGCTGTTATAGCTGCAAAGGGTGGGCCAACTCAATATTGAACCCTACAGACTAAGACTGGGACACCATTAAAGTTAATGTACGTGTAAAGGCAGGCATCCCAATACTTTTGGCAAAATAGTATATGTTGGAGTAAAGAAGAGATTTAAAGTGACCCTGTCAGAGGGGCCAAAAAAGCTGGCCCTTTGCTAAAACCTTGCTCTGTAGCAGAGTTTCCAGCACGGATCAGATTGCACACTTCTGGGTAAGAAGAATATGGCCCCTGCTGGTTAGTGCAATTCCTTCTGATCACCCCCTTGTCACTACTGTGCCGTACAGTGACAAAGGGTCAACATGCAGAACCACAGCAACCAGCAGGAGAAACCCACTATTTGGCCAGCCTGAAGAGTCAAGTTGGATTGGCTCCTGAAGCTCTGTTTTAACAGTTAGGTTAGTGCCTTTATAACTTGCCTTTATAACTTTTTTTGATCCCAGGGCAGGGTTACTTTATTGAACTTTAGTGGCCTATCTTTCTGGATCTACTAATAGCATTGGCAGTTTTAACTTAAAGTAACTTCTGAATATACCGTTTCATTTAATATACATTTATCATATACTCAGTTTGAATTCACCAGATTTGTGACCTAAAATCTCATAAGAGCTTTACCATGTAAGTGTATGTTTGCTCCTGTCTTGTCACCTTGTCACAAGTGTTCCCTGGAGACTGCAAGCAGCCAAACCAACACACATTTGCAGGCAAGGTTCATTGTTGTCACTGTCAGTAAACCAGCCTAGAGCAATGAAGTGCAGATGGTGCTAGAGTGAGCATAGCAGCAAGGGCATGGGATCAGTGTATAGCATGATTTAAACAGAGACAAGGGCCTAAAATGTGGCTGTGGACCTTAATTGTCCTGGCAGCAGGGCTGTGTAATTAATTAATTATCAGGTGTACCTTATGTGACTATAAAATAGTGTGAATCTCTGTTTCTTCATTTAGTTCTTTTGGGGCTAGAATAGTCAATGTAAAAATTCAAAAGGTTTCATGCCTATATAACCTTTGGAATCTGTTAGTGAATCACGGGCCTTCAGGTATGGATTCAACCACTCAAACCATGAGACCTTTGGTGGGTTTATTTTGTTTAAACGTAAAATGTACACTGTGATTCATATCTTCTATTTGCTTCCTATGTTCATGAAACCCCGCATGGGCAGTGCAATAGATTGGCCCACCTATAGAAGGCCACGGGGCATAGCCATAGCATCAGGGGTCTCAGGGCCCATGCTCCAGGGGGTCTATGGGGCCCTCTCCCTCACTCGCAAGAGGCTTCACCCATAGAGTGTGCCTGTGTGGGGGAGGCGGGGTCACCTGAGAGGCCGGTATGTGAGGAATGTGACAGGACAGAGCACGCTCCTCCCCATAGGTGACAGGCATGATGGGGTCACTTAGTGGAGGAGGAGTTAGGTTACGTGCAGAGGGGAAAGATATCTGAGTAGTGGGAGCAAGCACAGCAAATAGTGGTAGCGAGTGGTACACAGATCTTCTCATTCCCAACTCTTCCCCACTGCCTCCCAGCCTTTCTGTCCATGCCACTCTGTGAGCTTGTCCCTCCCCCTCCTAACTTGTCTCCTCCCCTCACATCTCCTTCCACTTCAGTCCCCGCTGGTCATCTCCTTCTTCCCACCCCTCGATCTGCTGCCAGTCATGGGGGGGGCCCAGCCAGGGGTAATGCTGTCCAGCTGGAGCTGGTCCAGATGCTGTAGATGCCGCAATGGGGCAGCAAGTTCATCAGGTGAGAGCAGAGCATAGGGGAGGAGAAGATGTGAAGGGACTGAGAACATTCTACAGTCCGGGACACAGGGCTGGAAGACTTCTACATATTGAGGAAGACTGAGACTTCCATGGACTCAGAATCAGCCGCTGAAAGCCAGATTCTCCTCCTCTACATCCCACTGGCATTCAGCAGCTGCAGTAGGAAAATGGAAGAGATCGATTCCTGTTTATGCTGCTCCCGCCGCTCTTCTTGTCTGGTTTCTTTTATTTCTGTTGCTCCTGGACCCCTGTGTGCTCCCTTATCCCCCCCTCCCATTTCAGGATGGAGTGTATGCGAAGGGGCCAGTAAAAATATATTATATTTACCAGTCCCTTCCTTTCATGAATGAATACAGCGAGTGATTGGTACTGATCGCTCCTGTGTCCATTCATCACTGAAGCATAGTTATCTGTGTTTACTATGTTTTGGTTTGTGAAGGAGCAGGAAGCCTCAGAGCACTTTTTATTCATTCATCAGTGTAGCTGAGGCTGCAGAGATAGAGTTTGAGGGCTGAGTCCTCAATCTCCTGTCTCTGTCTCAAAAGTGAGACATCAGAAGTCTATTTAGACCCCGATATTTCACCAAAGCCCTCCAACAGGGCTGCTAAAAAAATGTAAAAAAATAAAAACAAAACAAAATTAAATAAAATATTAAAAAATAATAAACACTATCTACTGTTCTACAGACACCAGCCTCTGCCCTACTGACACTGTCCACTGCCCTGCAGACTGACACTCTCTTTTTATTGCAGGCTAAGTTTATATTTTTACAGCGACATTTAGTTTTCCTTGCTATTCAGTTAGGCCTTGCTTATTAATTTCTTTTTAAGAAAAAAAAAGGGCACTGATCCCCGGTGATCTTTGATCTCTTTCCTGTTGTTCAGGTAGATCTCCATCTCTCAAAGGTTGCCTACCCCTTGCTCCAGAGATAGAGAGATATATCAATATGTGGACAGTTTCTCCATACTTTTTTGAATTATCCTCTCAGTATGTAAATAAAGATCTGAAATAACTCTTTAGCCACTCGGAATATCTTGGCGCGCGCAGTGGCAGTGTCTTGGTGCGCATTCGAAGCTGCGGGCGGTAGAGTGGGACCCCAGGTCAACTTTTTCATTAAGGCCCACAACCTTCAGGGGATGCCTCTGCACAAGGGCATGAGAAACAGTACACCATGGAGCTGTTGGCACAATGAAAAAAGATATAATAGTATACAGTATGTTTATCCACTGTCATTTTGAAAGGACATTTCTTGATGGTTAACAAAACTGCACATTTTGCACTTTCTGTTCCTGCACTGGTACATCCCTTCCAGGTTACAGAATGTGGTTAAGGGATATAAGAAGGAAGGACGGCTTTCCCCATTATTGGAGGGTCTGGCTCCACTGCACAGAGGCTTACCATCTCAGCAGCCCATCTGCCATCCTTGCTGTCTGTTGCACAGTGTACCCCTCCTGTTTCTCGGGCCATTGATAGGTTACCTATATGTAAGTGTGCTATTTCTTTTCTTTAACAAATGATGCTATACACTGATCCTGCGCCCTTGCTACTTTACCCTTTTTCATGTACATGGATGGATCTATTCCAAATCTAAGATAGGAGTAGCAGGATCCTGGTGTTCACCTGACCCACTTCCACAAGAGTTTCCTTGACTTTCCTTTTGAAAACTGACTTACAGAGCGCTGAACTTACCATGTACCTTTGGACCTATAGTGTGTGCTGTTGAAGCTAGAATGAGTGCATGTAGACAAAGAATAAAAAAAGGTGAAAATCATAGTTGATGAAACAGAAACCATAGCAATTATTTATGCAGGTCCTAAACATTTTTCTCAATAGCCTCAAGGGGGGTAAAATATACTTTTCTGTACTCCAAATTCCTTTACAACCCAAATATTACCTTTACAAAGTGGTGGTGATATCATTATTGCTCTGCAAAGTTGTAGGAGGATCCCAGCAGGTCCACCCACTACAGACTGCAGAAAACTACAGAAGGGGGAAGATACAAGACCAGTCACCCTGCGCAAGGATAAAGAGCAGCAGTGACCGGTTTTTATTACAGGAAACTCCTGCACAGAGGTTAACAATGCATTACTGCACAGATCTGGAAAAATACACAAAGCACACCAAGACTGTAGTACTAACACACATGCCAAAATTTGCTTATCCCAGAGTTCAGCGTTAACCACTTCTGCTCTGGAAGGTTTTATCCCCTTTCATGACCAGTCAGTTTTTGCTGTTCTGCACTGTGCTACTTTAACTGATAATTGCGTAGTCATGCAATGCTGTACCCAAGCAAGATTTTTAAATAATTTTTTTCTGACAAATAGAGATTTCTTTTGGTGGTATTTGATTACCATTGGGTTTAAGTGAAAGTATAAAACCTATGGTATATATACTGGAATTTTTATTATATTTACACTACTAATGGCACTGATCAGCCACTTATAATGGGACTGCAATAGTGCGGATGGCAATCTGACACTAACTGACTTGGGGGGGACTGACTAACAGCTACTGAAATCACCAGTGACATTAATCACTTGCCCTCCAGAGGATTTACCCCGCCTCCCTGACCAGGCAATTTTTTGCGTTATGGCACTGCGTTACTTTAACTGACAATTGTGCGGTCATGCAACACTGTACCCAAATGAAATGTATGTCATTTTTCCCATGAATAGAGCTTTCTTTAGGTGGTATTTGATCGCCTGTGCGTTTTTTAATTTTTTGCGCTATAAAAAAAAAAAAGACAATTTTGAGAATAAAACAATATTTTTGACTTTTGCTATTAAACATGTCCAGTAAAAAAATAAAAAAAATAAAACTTCGTCATAAATTTAGGCCAAAATGCATTCTGCTACGTTTCTTTGCTAAAAAAAAATCCCAATACATGTAAATTAATTGGTTTACGTGAAAGCTATAGCATTTACAAATGGTGGTATATATACTGGGCTTTTTTTTTATTTTACTAGTACTGGTGGTGATCAGCGACTTATAGTGGGACTGGAGGACTGTGGCAGACATTCTAACACTTGGGGGAACTGACTTGGTGTCAAAGACACCCCCCGTGACACCAATACAGTAATCAGTGCTAATAAAAAGCACTGACACTGTACTAATGGCACTGGGAAGAAAGGGGTTAACATGTGGGGTGATCAAAGGGTTTACTGTGTGCTGTTTTACTGTGTGCTGTATGTGTGTTTTCAACTGTCAGCACACAGCTTTGCATGGCAACAGTGTGCAGGAGCTGACAGGGGAGGGAACTGTATTGTTTATATACAGTTCTCTCTATCCGTCAGTAATGCTCCTAGATCACCAGGTGCCGGCAAGTAATCACTGCCAGCACAGGACCTGGTGATTGACAGCTGAGGCAGCGGGTAGGGCGTGCGCCCTCTACCCAGAAATGCAAAATCACTGCTATAGGGCGGACCGGAAGAGGTTAATACAGTGATCAGTGATAATACTATACACTGTTATTGTGTGCTGCTTTTACTGCTTTGCAGGAATAAGAAACAGTGAGATCATACCCTCTGTACAAAGCCCTGTGTTGATTATCAACACAGAGCTCTGGGCTGTGATTGGACACAGTTAATCAGCAGGCCTTGGCCATGAATCATTCGCCGAGACTTGATGACAGACTCCCGCAGTGTACAATCACAGCAGGTGTCAGCGAAGGGGTAAGGGCACGCATGTACGTGCTTTATACTCTAAAGCAGGCAGCGATTTTTCTCCTTCACTGATGTGCGTTGATGAGGCAGCGCTGATGGGCACTGATAGGCGTCACTGATGGGCACTGATAGGCAGCACTGAAGGGCACTGATAGGCGGCACGGATAGGCGGCACTAATGAGGTGGCACGGATAGGCGGCTTTGATAGGCAGCACTAATGAGGTGTCACAGATAGGTGGCACTGATATGCGGCACTGATTGGTGGCACTGATAGGCGACACTGATAATGGGTACTGATAGACAGCACTGATAGGTAGCACTGACTGACATCACTGCTGGGCACTGACTGGCGGCACTGCTGGGCACTGACTGGCACAACCGCTGGGCACTGACTGGTGGCACTGACTGGCAGCACTGCTGGGCTGCACTGATGTGCACTGGTGGGTGGCACTGATGGGCACAGGTGGGTGGGCACAGGTGGGTGGCACTACTGGACACAGGTAGGTGGCACTTCTGGGCACAGGTGGTGACACTGCTGGGTGGCACAGGTGGTGACACTGCTGGGTGGCACAGGTGGGCGCACTGCTGGGCACAGGTCGGTGCATTGCTGGGCACAGGTGGGCAGAACTTGTGTGTGGCACTGCTAGGCACCGATCATCAGGGCACTGGTGATCAGTGACCCTGATGATCGGTGCCAATCCCCGCTCTGACAACTGCCGGTTTTTGGCAGTACTTTCCTCACGATCTGACAGCGTGCGGAAAGTGCAGCCGAGAACCGGCATTTGCATTTTCCCGGTGATCAGCGTGTCATTGGACACGGCTGATCACGTGGTAAAAGGCCGCTGTGATTGGCCTTTTACCACGCCACGTGATCAGCTGTGTCCGTAGGACACAACAATCACGGAGATCGCCAGGTGCGCGCCCCGGGGGGGCGTGCAGGAGAGCGCATTCTGGGAGGACGTCATATGACGTCCACCCAGAACTGGCCGGCCGCAGTGCAGCTGTCATTCGGCTATCTGCGGTCGGCAATTAGTTAAGTGGTCGAGCAAACTAAATGTCATCCAATTAGTGCTTAGAATAGGTTCACACTTGCGCAGGTCAGAAACCCATACATAATCACATGCAATCCCAACCCACTGACAAACCATGTCGTTATTGTTTGGATAATACTGTTTATTGTCTTTTTTGTTATTCAGTATAAAAAACATACAAAGAAAGCCCGGGGTCCAAAACCCAGCCTATCTATACAAAAACAACCTAACTGTGACCCACCATCCCTCCCTTCCCCCAGTGCAACTACCCTTCATTTACAGACAATAACATAAACAGTTCACTGTGAAATGAAAGAAAATACAGGATTGAAGCCTATATAGGCCACAAGATACACTTCCAGCAGAAAATCATATGACCGGATTGTAACCCCAGTAGGATCCTTCCATAGTAAAGCAGACAATCAAAAGTACATTACTTAGGGACATGAAAATCACCTCAATGTATTTATAAGTCAATAGGAAGGTCTCATCCCACAGTAGACGTGTCCACCAACCAGCACTGCAAAACCTTATCAAATTTCCTTAGGCATCCCCGTGTAAGTATGTAAGGGCATAGATTTGTTAATGATACCCTTCCAAAATGACAGAGATGGGGCTTCAGGCTTTTTCCAATAGAGTAATATAGATTCACAGGCATAAAAGAGAGTAATGGACAAGAATGTCCGCTGTGCTCTTAGTGATGCTATTTCCTCAACCAGCCCCAAGAGGCATACTGACTTTGTTGATGGGACCTGTAAAAGCGTAAGCTCCTGTATAGTGTGGGTAACCGCTGGTCAGAAATTTTGTATTAATGGATAGTGCCAAAAGATATGATCGAAGTCCGTAAGTGACGCTGTACACCTCTAACACTCTGCTGAAGAGGTCCCATAAATCCTGGCTAACCTAGCTGGAGTATAAAAAATCCTGTGATGAGCTTAAATTGGATGAGTGTAAGTCCAGGGCTCATGGCGGCACACGGGACGGCGCATGCGCAGAACGCCGATGCGTGTTAACCGGCGGGCACTAGGACATGGTCAACCGTGGCCGTGAATGCACACTCGCAATCGTGGATGCGCGCCTGTCACCAATGACAGCGCAGGTGTATGATCCAAACGCACACGTTCCTGCGTTAAAAATGGCTGTGTGTAAAAGTGGGTGCTGCAGTGACCGTCGGCTGGAACCGAACAAAATCAGCAAGGAAAAAATGTCACCAGCACACCGAGGATCACCAATATGGGTCCAAAGGTTTTAATAAACCATCACATAGTTACAGCAAGGCAACGTTTCGGAGTTTTGCAGGACCCCTTCATCAGGCATGTGACAGTCACATGCCTGATGAAGGGGTCCTGCAAGACTCCGAAATGTTGCCTTGCTGTAACTATGTGATGATTTATTAAAACCTTTGGACCCATATTGGTGATCCTCGGTGTGCTGGTGACATTTTTTCCTCAATGACAGCGCAGGGCGCGCTATTTAAACCAGCCACAGGTATGTGCCAATTGCAGTATGGTCTCATTACCTGTTCCTGCTCCTCTGTTCTGTGAAGTACCCTTTGTTGCTGACCCTGCTTTGATCCTGATCCTGTTGACTGACCCCTGGCCTGTCCTGACCACTCTCCTGTCTGCTCCTTGTTACTGGATCTCCTGTTGGCTTGTTACCTGACTACTCTCTGCCTGCTCCTCCTGTACCTACCTGCCTGTTAGTTGCTGACCTGGCCTGTCTGACTACGCTATACCTTCACGGTCATTCATCCATCCCGCACGGATCCAGTCCCTGCTGCCCAGGTCTGTTAGCCTCTTCACGTCAGGCTCTCTTCTTCTACGCACCTCTGGCGGTTACCTCTACCACAGTCGGGCGTACTCAGGGGTCGCGACCTGGTCTCAGTCTGCTCCAAGTCCATCCCCACCATCAGGGGATCTGGTGAACAAGCAGATTGGGACTTAGACTCCGCGCCCTGGGGAACCCCGCACTGCGGGTTGCTAGAGATACCACCAGGCGGTTTATGACAGTACCATACGGCCATGGATGAGTCTGGAAGAGGACCGTCCCCGTTGGACGACATATGCCAACATCTGGCGGCGCTTACCCAAGCGGTTAAAATGCTACAGGAAGGTTACACGCACCTGGAGGGTTGAGTACAGGCGCTAGCCTCACCAGCATCTACATCTTAGGACCCAGGTACTACATCTTCAGCTGGGAACCCCTCAGAACCTCCTGTCGGGGCAGTGGTCTCCATACCTCCACCGGAACCCCGCATGCTGATGCCAGAACGGTTCAATGGGGATCGGGGGAAATTCAGGGCATTCCGCAATGCATGCCAATTATTTTTTGATCTCCAGCCACGAACATTCTCTACAGAATCCGTGAAGGTGGGGTTCATTATATCCCTACTACAAGATGAACCCCAGGGCTAGGCCCACCGACTATTTGAGGCCCACCATTCACATCTGAGCTCAGTAACGACATTCTTTAAGGCAATCGCATTGTTATATGATGACCCGCAGTGGGCAGCTTCGGCCGAATCGGCATTGCAGGCACTCAGACAAGGTCGCCGGGCAGTGGAAGAATACGCCTCTGATTTTTAGACGCTGGATGGGGGACACACAATGGAATGATGCGGCCTTGCATCACCAGTTCCACATGGATTTATCCGAGTCTCTCAAAGACGAGCTAGCCAGAGTGGGCTTACCCGATACTTTGGAAGATTTAATATCTCTGGCCATCAAGATTGACCGCAGATTGCGGGAACGCAGGATGGAGAGGTCCAGCCAGGGTCAAAGGCCTACATGGGTGTTCCCTCGTGTTCCAATCCAGTTGTCTCCTTTTGCTGGAAATCGGAACTCGGAAACTGCCGACATGCCTGCACCCATGCAATTGGGATTAACGCGACCTTCATTGACGTTTGAAGAACGCCAGAGGTGTCGACTGAACAATCTCTGTCTTTACTGCAGGGAAGCAGATCATGTGGTACGCTCCTGCCCAGCAAAACTAAGTAAGTGTGCCTCTGTTTTTTCTGCTACATCTCCCACCTATCTCAATAATTCAAATTACTTAGCCATGCCCATAGCTCCCCGGAAGGACCGTGTCAGCGACGGCAATCGTTGATTCAGGAGCTTTCAGGTGCTTTGTAGACCGAGACTTTGCAGCTCAGCAGCAGATCCCCCTACAGACCAGGGAGTGTGGGTTGAATATTTTCCTAGCCGATGGGTCCCGCATTAAGTCAGGGGTGGTAGACTGGAAGACCCCACCTATCTGCACTACGGTGGCTGGCCACCATTGGGAAATCCTACGCCTGGATGCCATCACATCCCCTCTATTTCCAATTATCCTGGGGCTCCCTTGGCTACGGGCACACGACCCCTAGATTAATTGGAAGACAGGGTCAATTCAGTTCAGGTCAGCCTACTGCCAAGAGCATTGCTATCCCAAGACTTCCCCAGCTTCTCAGTTCATATTATGCATGGACATGGATGCTGTACTGACCCAAGTTATTCCCCCGGCCTACCACAGTTTCCTCGATGAGTTTAAGAAACAATTGAGTACTGTCCGTGATACTTTTTTTATTTGCACTAACATACAATTTTGAGGACAAGCTTTCGGGGTATGTCCCCTTCTTCAAGGTCTAAGCAGTAATATTAAAAATCACAAAGTTTAAGCAGAATGTTAGAATGGATTGAGAGAAAAAAAAAAAGGGCTACAGATAAGATACATCAAA